CCCTTCCCGCACAACGGAGTGCTGACATGCCAGTCCAGGCCAAGTGCAAGCAGTCCAAGGCTGAGGCCAACGCGGCGCAGAACCTTCTTGAGAAGGAGGTGACGACCCTCCGTGATGCCAACAGGGGTTTGACGATGAAGCTTCGCGATATCGAAGTGGCCAATGATGACTTCGAGAGGCAAGCCCGCAACACGACGTCTTCCCTGGAGGACCTTGAAAGCAAATACAACGTTGCTATCGAGCGTGGTGTTTTGATGGAGGAGGAGATCAAGCTGGCCGACCGCGAGCGCGAGACTCTTCGCATCGAGGCCCAGCGCCTGCGCGAAGAGCTTTCCGACCTCAAGATTGAGGCCGAGTTGCTCCAGGACAAGATCAAGAAGCAGGAGGACCGTCACCTGTCCCACATTTCCACCGACATGTCCCTCCTCGAATCGCCCACCTTTGACAAGACGATCGATGCCTCGCCCAACTCAACAGCCAGCTCCCCTCTCATCACGACGCCTCCCGACACGGCCCAGCTGCGGGCCTCAAAGGCGCTGCACTCTCACGACCCTCCTTCGCCTCCCATGTCCGACGTCTCGGCGCCTGCTCCTTCGGCCAGGAAACCCGCCACGAAGCCGGTCGCCAAGACACCCGCGCCGTCCACCCGCAAGTCCCGACTTCCTTCTGCCGATCACAGCATCACGCCAAAGCCAAGGTCCAACTTTGCTTCGTCCACGACGAGCAGGCCGGTCGGCCGCTCTGTCACTGCCACGTCAGCCACCCGCACGCCAGCCCCGCGAACCACGGCCCGGGCCGCCTCCCATCGCATCCCAGCGTCCAACTCCCTCACACACATCCGCTCCCTCACCGCGCAGATGCAGCGCCTCGAAGCCCGCGTCCAGTCAGCTCGCTCCAAGCTGCCTGCGCCCGTCAACACGCCTCCCAGGGCATCGCCCCGTTCATCCGTCAACGGCTCCAGCAATGTTCCTTCGACGGTTACGATCCGTTCTCGCAAGCGCACTATTGGCTCCTCCTCCGCGACAAGCTCCATTGTCGGCGACGAACCCACGCCCACGAACCCCCGCAACTCGACACACAGCACCTCAACCACTGGATCCAGGCACATGTCTCGACCTAGCGCGTCGGGCATCAGCCGTCTCTCGTTCGGCCCTCTTCCGAATCGCAACCCTCCCGGCACCGATTCGGATGCCTCCATCTCACGACCCAGTTCACGCGCCAGCCTGTCCTCCTACGCACGCCCGGCGAGTCGCACTGAGATGATCCCACCACCAAGGCCCATGAGCCGCTCCAGTCTTTCCGGCGCACGAACCCCTCTCGGCCGACCGAGGAGTTCGATCGGCATGCACGGCCACTCGGCGAGCATCTCCCGCATCGATATGGACGAGGCGGACGAAGATGCCGCAGCCGCGGGTGAGCTGCGCACGCCCAGCCGCAGAGGCACGTACTCGCGCTTTGACACGGACGGCGGTGCCAGCAACATCCCCATGCCTGGCAGGCGGCAGAGCGGCAGCGGACCGTCGACGCGGCGGACGAGCAGCGGCGTCGACCTCCGAGCCTCCGTGCGACGGTCGGCTGTCGGCGCACCAGAAAGCCTTGAGGAGGAGACTTATTAATTATCACGGGATAGAGACGGCGAGAGGTGCGGACCGAGACACTTAAGATACCCCAGCAGGATGAGAAGGAGGAGGAGGAGGAGGCGGAGGAGGAGGAAGAATCACCAGCGGTGCTTGAATACCCCCTCTTTTTCCACACACACATACATCACATACCCCTTATTCTACATACATCCACGCCGCCGCGCGTTAGGGCGGGCGGTACCAGTCGCTTATAATTCTTTCCTTTGTCGAACTACCTCCCCCTTTTTTTTCTTCTTCTTGATGATTACGGCGATGGGAGCATGAAGGGTAGGAGGAAGGTGCCAGCATGATTTATTACGAGCGGGACAGGGGGTGGGAGGGCATATACAGGCAATGGATCGGCAGGCGGCTTGTTCTTGTTTTCTGGTCGTTTGCTTGGGCAGATGCTGATGTTTAGCTGCTAGGCCCGCAGGGCAGAATGAAAGACTGAAGGTGTCGAGGATGCACGTGCGTGCCACAGTGTGATGATGAGGATGCGATGCTTGCTGTGACGATGTTGAGACTGGCGGTTGAGTCCTGCGATTGGCCTCACGGGTCTAGTTCACCGGGCAGAGTACGACAGAGCAGAATATTCAGCAATGGGGATAGACACTGCTGGATCGGCTTTCCAAGGCAAGCAGAGAGGTGCAGTCTGGAAGTGATGGAAGTCATTCGGGCGGTTGGGATCGTGACGTCGGCCCCATGATTACCAGGGAGGATGTACAAAATGAGAAATGAGGTAGACGTGGCAGCGTAGAACGCACCCTCCCCAAGAACTGGCACTCGGGACACAAGAACCATACTTCAACGAAGAACGAAGCAAGTCAAGAGATACGCTCACGTAAATCGAGCTCACGAACGAGATACATCCGGCATTGGGCTGACGACGGACCCCCCCCTGAGCTTCGGCACACAGCCAGGACACATCACAGACGGCGTCAAGGGCCGATGCGATGCGCCCGATTGATCGACGCAAGCCCGATGCCGAGAGACCCTTCTCCCCCCTTTTCCCAAAGCTGCCTCCCCCCCGGCCTGCGCCACTGAAATGGGGGGGCAAAACGCTCCAATTTGAGGTCCGAAATGGAAATGCAATGAATGGAGTAACTCCCATCCGCCCGCGGACGGCCGAGGGCAAGCGAAAGAAAGGACGAACGGAAGTCCGCGGGCGGGCTCAGCGAGTGGCGCCGCGGCCGGGACGGGTAGGGAAGGGAACCACGCAGCCGGCGACTTTTTTCTTTAGGGGGGGTTGGAATGGAGTGTGCCGTTATTTGTTCTGCCCATGTTGGTTATTGGGCTCTCCAATGCCTGGTGGGGACTACCTACCTAGTTGGAGGGGTTGTCTCAGGCCTGAGAAGAGAGGCGCGCGAGAGAGCTCTGCGCACATCAGCTGTGTAGGAAGGTACTGTGTAGGAAGGTAGTAGTAAACGCCCAGCCTTTTGGCTTAGCGGGCAGGGCTCGAAGCCGACAGGGGCAGAACAAATAGCCGTGCTCGGGGAATCACCCTGTGGCGGGGCGGACGCGCTGATGAATGAGACACACACACGCTCACTGAGAGAGCTGCTGCTTGTTTGTCTTCGAAGGACGAGAGAGAGAGAGAGAGAGAGAGAGAGGGGCACCGGGTGGACGCGGCGGACAAGATGTTGGGGATCTGCGGGTGGGGCTCAGGGGACCACCCCAAAAACCCAGGCACTACATCTACGTACCGCAACCAGGGGGCATGGGTACTTGACGGGTCGCGTTGCTCTTGTTGAGCCGAGAGGGTTTTCCCCCCTTCGCTCGAGAAAACGTGGGCGAGCTGCCTGCTACGTGGGCGAGCTGCCTGCTACGTGTGACGAGAAGCCATGCATGCGATTGCAGAAGTTCTTATCAGAATCCCTCTGGCCTGGGGCGAGGTTGAGGGGGGTGGTCCGCCGCTTTCATGTCAGTTGAGAGATGACACTGCATAGGGATCGATGTCGATGGGTTCGGGAGGATTTTTTTGGAGAAGAATGCCGACCAGCTGACGTCACACTAGACCCGTTTGGGCCTGGGCGCGATGTGGGCTTGAACGGGTTGTTGAGGGTGCTGCTACTACTACCATGCACACGAACTATTTGCTGCTGCCTTCGCTGATGCCCGTTTGGCGGACTGGCAGCACTGACAAGCTCATCCAGCCCTGGGAGAATTGACCCGGATCGGTTGCATTGGGAGCCCAGGCGCGAGAGGCGAGACAGGCGAGGCAGCCATGTTGCAAGGCGAGACATCTGAATGGTCATGGATCTGATGTATCCAATGCTCGTTCCTGGTCATTCCACGCCTGTTTGTGCCACGAGCTGAAGGGGGGCCAATTGGGGCCGTTCACCCCAGCTCTGACAAGTTGCCAGAGAAAATGGGCCATGGACCGAGGGGAACGTTTTCTCAACGGGAGCTCCGAAATCCTGGGGCACAACTACAACGACAAGGATGGGGGGAGAGGAGGAGGAAGGGGGGGAAGATTCGCCTGGCTTGGCCTGCACAATCGATAAGGACCCGATCAAGCTGCAACGCTAATGGGGGGGAAGCTTGCCCTGTTCGCCTCGATGCTGCAGCCGGGGGTCCAGGTTTGGCGCAGCCCGCTTCCGTCCGTCTTTTTGGACCCGATTACTACCCCCCCCCCTCAACCCCCAGTGAAGTCAGTGAAATGGAAATTGTCAGGCCCGGTTTCCTGAAGGACGGGAGGAGGCTATGCAACACGTTGCCGATGAACTGTAGAGAGATGAAGGGGGACGGCCGAACATTGAGTCCACCTGTCGTCTTGCATGCTGACACCTGTACGAATGGGCATCTACCTAAGTACCTAGTTACCTGCCTACCTAGGTAGTTACCTTGAGAGTGGTATAAGGCTTGCAGGCCCTCCTCCCAGCATCTTCACCCCGTCATTGGTTGGGTCCTGCCAGATCGAATGTATCTATTTGCCTACGTACCTCAGCAACGGCCACAGCACTGCTCGACAGACAAGACGTCCCCGAGGTATCCATGCAGAAGGCGGTAAGCACGGTACCACAGAACGGCATCTATACAACCCTATGATGGCAATTGCGTTGCGGTGTATTGGTCGACGAACATCAGCCGCTGCATGTCGTCAGACCGTGGGTCGTATGGCTCAGCTGCCGACTTGCCTTGCATAGTATATACCATCAACCTGTCTGTCTAGGTGCTCCCAGGGAAGGCTGACCGTACCTGCGTTACATCTACAATCTGCTGCCTCGTCCCCTTTCCTCTCACCATTGATCTAGACCAACTGCCTCTACATTTTTGCCTCGACTGAGCTTTGCAGTGGTGGGTCGTCTATCCTGCTACTTTGATTCGCACCTTGAAATCGTCCCAAGAGACCCCTCAACAGCGAGGCACAACGTCAGGTAAACACATCTTGGGCTCTAATTCACCACTGCCACCATGGAAAGTTTCGGCAGCCTGGCCCATCAACAAAACCCCCACGAGCTGTCTGACCTGCCCTCTCCCTCACTCGGCCTCCGTATGGCATTCCCAGGCAACCTGCCACCAGTGTCGTGAGGCGTGAGTTGGAACATGGCGCCCCAAGAACAATGCATGCCACGGGACTAGCCAAAGAACCCAAGGGAGATCAGCATCCAAGTGTTGTTGGTCTTGGGGGCGGTGGTCCGCCCCCCTTGTCCGGCTTGGGGAGCGGCCGGGACGAGACACACACACAGAGAGAGAGAGAGAGCAGGGTCCATTCGGGTCCCAGCAGCCCAGCATCCCAAGATCCCAGGAACCACACCCCCCCGGCCCCATGCCCAATTAGCGGCACCTGGACATTTCCCCAACAGAAGATGCGACCTGGCGGACGGGAAACTTTTTGCTAACACACACACCCCTTGCCCCCCCCCTAGTCCCGGACCGAGTCGTCGCTCTGCTCGAACATTCATCAACCCAACACCTCCTCCTCTCTCCCCTCGAAAACGACTCTGTCAGACTCTCCAAATTCACCTCCCAGAGACTTTCGAGCACGTCGAGCACAGAGTTCCCCCGCTACAACTCGTCTCGACCCTCAACCCACGAAAACCACACACAAACAACAACCGTCCACGCCTCGAAGTCCATCTCCCCACTACAGCTCCACGCAAGCTCCCTGTCCCCAAATTCATGACGGTCTCCATCTAGATACCCGCGTCTTCTCCCACGCCTATTCTTCCTCCTCTTCTTCTTCTCCTCGCCCCCTTCTTTCTCCCACACCTCGACATTTTTTTGTAATCACACACAGTCGCCGCAACCATGACTCAAGTCGAGGCAAACGGCACCGGCCGCGTCGTGCCCCAGTCCAACGGCAAGGCCTCGTACGCCGAGAAGCACAACATCGCCGACCACTTCATCGGTGGCAACAAGCTTGCCAATGCGCCCGCATCCAAGGTCAAGGATTTCGTGGCAGAGAACGACGGTCACACCGTCATCACAAATGTTTGTCTGCCCTCCCGCATCGCCTGGTGGAGTGTTCCCTGCCTTCCCTCTCCACGGAGGCGCCGGGTCTGACCTTTGCTGACGAGTTTCTCACCAGGTCCTGATCGCCAACAACGGTATTGCCGCCGTCAAGGAGATTCGCTCCGTGCGAAAATGGGCGTACGAGACATTTGGCGACGAGCGCGCCATCCAATTCACCGTCATGGCCACGCCCGAGGATCTGGCAGCCAACGCTGACTACATCCGCATGGCCGACCACTACGTCGAGGTTCCCGGCGGCACAAACAACCACAACTACGCCAACGTCGAATTGATTGTCGATGTTGCGGAGCGGATGGACGTCCATGCCGTGTGGGCTGGATGGTAAGCAAGAATCTGCCTGCATCGTGTCGCTCGAGCGACCGCCGGCTAACTGTGTCTGTAGGGGCCACGCCTCCGAGAACCCCAAGCTCCCCGAATCCCTCGCCGCCTCGCCAAAGAAGATTGTCTTCATTGGTCCTCCCGGGTCTGCCATGCGATCTCTCGGCGACAAGATTTCTTCCACAATCGTCGCGCAGCACGCG